CAGGGCTGGGCTTCACACCAAGGCTAGGCTTCAGATCAAGGCCAGGCTTCAGATCAAGGCCAGGCTTCGCAGCAAGGCTGGCTTTCACTTCAAGGCTGGGCTTTACACCAAGCCTGGGCTTCACATCAACGCCAGGCTTCGCAGCAAGGCCGGGTTTCACTTCGAGGCTGGGCTTCACACCAAGACTGGGCTTCACACCAAGACTGGGCTTCGCACCAGGGCTCGGCTTCACACCAAGGCTGGGCTTCAGATCAAGGCCAGGCGTCCCAGCAAGGCTGGGTTTCACATCAAAGCTTGCCTTCATACCAGGACCCAATTTCACATTCAGGCTTGGCTTCACACCAAAGTCTGGTTTCAGCTCAAAGCCCGGCTTCACGGCAGGGCTTGATTTCAACTCAGGGCCTGGCTTCAGACCACGGCTGGGTTTGACAGCAGCGCCAGGGTTCGCATCAAGGCTGGACTTCAAAGGGGGACCCAGCTTCAGACCAGAGCTCGGCTGCATTCCAGGACCCGCATGAAGAGTGGGCTTCACACCCGAACTTGGCTTGATCAGCCCGGTGCCGTGGGCGCTGGCTGGAGGCGCTTGAGGTCCGAGCTTGGTTGCCGGCCCAGCCGGTGCCTCCTTGGGAATGCGCCCGGGACTGTCTGGGACAGGCTTGGGGGCGGACGCCGGAGCAGCGGCGACGACTGGCTTCGGGGACGGCTTGGGTGGGATGCCTGGTTGTGTCTTCGGACTTGCTATGACCTGCTTGAGCAAAGGCAGCCCGGGCTGCATTGTCCTGAGCACCTGGGCCTCCATCTGTGCGGTAGGGATCTTCGGCCGTTCTTGCCCAGCTCGTTCTTTCTCAGTCTGTTCTTTCTTGGTAGCGACGTCTTGCTCGGTAACTCTTGTCAGGCCAGGCGCGAGAGGCATCTTCTGGTCTCGCGCCGTCTTGACTTCGGCTGAGGGCGGGCTGTCCTCAAGCACCCGCCGCGGCTGAACGAGTCGATAGTGCGGGTCTAGGACCGAGACGTCTTCTGCGTAATGGTGGAGTTGAATGAGGCCGCCGGAGTGACCGCTTAGCTGCGCGGTGTTGCGGGCCAACACGAGTGGATCGACCTCCGACCCCGGGATACCTACCCCTCCAGCGGTACCGACCCCCCTGGGGGTACCCACCTCTTTGGGGATACCTACCCCTCCGGGGGTACACACCCCTTCGGGGGAATTTACTCCGAGGACACCACCTACCCTCAGATAACCCTCAGGGGGGCGAGCCGGCTCCGGGTGAGTCGCGTCCCGAAGATGTACGGGCGTCGTAAGGCCGGTAGCCGACGCCATAAGGTGAGCGACGGGCTGCGCGAGGGAGGAGGGAAATGGTCGGGCTTTGCTCAGTTCTGCGTTGCGTTGTTTGGCTTCTTCGTGAGCTTCTCGTTGGTGGTCCAATTCATCTCTTAAGGAGAGGATAGTTCTCCGACTCTCGCGCAAAGCTTCCGACAAGTCCACCAACTCTGCCACCGACTTGATGACATTGCGGTCGGTACCGGTCCTGATGTACCCGCCTGGGTCCTCGGCGTCTCCACTGGGACCAAAAGGCGCCAAACTCCCCTCCTTCAAAACGCCCCTTGCATTCACGCTGGAACTTATTCCGCAGACCCCGACCCCGGCCCCGCAGGTCTGAAGCCCGCAGCTCCCGGCCCCCTTTTGGCCCCCACTCACACCTCCTGAGAGCGTGCCCCGGACCAAGGTGTCTCTGACCAAATAAGCGGGGGATCGGTAAAGGAGATCGGTCGTGGGTGCATCGTCGGGGAGAGAACACCACCTGTGAGAACACAGCCCCTGCCGTATTAAATTTCGAAGTCCAACCGGCTCATCAACCTCTCCCCTCAGTGTTAGTAAGGCGTCGATACACTGCGTGAAGCTACCCCGTTGCACCATGCCTCCCAGCGTGCATGTTTCCCGCCGCTGCTCTCATCCGTGGCATGCACCAGACCGTCCGCCGTTCCACTTTCTCCCTTCTTCCCTTCTTCCCTACTTTCTCACTTCTTCCCAACTTTCGCCCTTCTTTCCCACTTTCGCGTCCACTTAGTGTCGGAATGGTTTGACAGTAGGTTCGGTGGCATCTACATTTCCTTTCTCGCCGGAGCCTGCACAGTCCTGGGCGGACTTATCGCTGTGTCATGGACGTCGACCAAGGACCCCCTGATTCTTGCGGGCATGCTGTCCTTCGCTGCAGGAGTCATGATCCTGGTCTCGTTCGTGGAGGTGTATAACGAAGGGCTGGAACAGCTGCAAGACGGCAGCTATTTATCGGACGCGACGCTGGGCAAGGGGGCGGCCTTGTCCCTCTTCTTTCTCGGCTGGATCATCACCAGCGTCCTAGACGGCGCATTACACCTCGCCACTGACTGGAGACAGTCCACAGCCGGAGGCACCGCCGTAAGGAAACCCTTGCCGACCAAACAGTTATCTGGCAAGCAGTTAGATGCGCAGTCGCTGGCTGCGGCGTCCGGGGCTGGCAGGAAGTCTCTGGAGACCTGCCTGCACGGGAGTTCGCCGGTGTGGGAAGGCGAGCAGTGGGAGGGTGGCCAGTGCGATGGCCTTCACCAGACGCGCACGTCGCGGAACGGAAGCGCGATTTACCCTGCGCACACGTGTGTGCGGCGCGAATCAGCGCTGCGCCAAACATTGACGTACGTGATCCAGAGGCTGGGGAACTCGCCCGCGGTGGCGGCAGTGACTGGGCGCAAGGCTGTGAGCCCCTGGGAGCAGGAGCGGGTGCGCCGCGAGTTCGAGGAAGAGGCGGAGTCGATGAAACACGTGGGCTACTTCACGGCCGCGGTTTTGGCTCTGCACAATATCCCCGAGGGCATGGCCACTGGCGTCGCCTCCCACACAGCGGTTCGGGTGCAGCTGGCGCTGGCCATCGGCATCCACAACATCCCCGAGGGCCTTGCCGTCGCCGTGCCCATCTACTACGGCACCAAGAGCCGCTCTTGGGCCCTGCTCATGACCTTTGTCTCCGGCATGGCCGAGCCGTTCGGCGCCCTCCTGGTCAGCTTCATCAGCCCCCGCAACCTAGGACCCGCCCTCCTCCTCACCGCCGGCATCATGGTCAACGTCGCCGTCAAGGAACTGCTTTACAATGCCTGGCGCAACGACCCCGCAAACCAGGTCACGAGCGTCGCCTTTTTCTTCGGCATGGCCGTCATGGGCCTCAGCCTCATCGCACTGAACCAGGTGCCCCTCGACTCCGCTCCGCCTCCGCTCCCCCTCCCCGTACTCTAACTCCCCTCTGTCCCTGTCTCCCGCTGCATCCACATAACCACGCCACAGGGTTTGGTCGTGTCCTCCTGGCCCGGGGTCGTGGACCTCTGTCGGCCTGTGCAGTGGCCCACATGGTGGGCGGCACACATATTTGGCGCGGTGGGTTTATATTTGCGCACCGCCAACGGTGTCAGGCGCCGGTCATGGTTGTGCCCATACACACACCAGCTGGGCACACGAAGGCGTCTCTTTGCGTGCTGGCTCCATTGCCCGAAATGGTATTAGTATTAACATTGCTGTCATTGTTCAAAATTGGTACGTAAAAATTATGCGGTAAGTACCTTCATGAGGTTGCTCTTGCCGGGGCAGGGGGTGAGTCCGTGAACGGCGACGTATTTGTCACCAGTCTTGAGGAGGCCACGGGTCTTGGCGGCTGCGATGCCGTCTTCGATGGTCTCCCCCTTAACGCCGATAACGCCTCGGAGGAGGGTGGTCTGGGCAACAGTGAAGTCGCAAGGTGAGACGGCGACTACGGTGGCATTGGAGCGGTACTTGGCCATGAGTCTGGCGGTGTTGCCAGAGAGGGTTTGGACGATGAGTACATCGGCGCTTACGTCGGCAGCGGCCTCAATGGCGGCGCAGGCGACAGATTCGGAGACGCTCTTCTCGCCCTTCGTGGCTCCATGGATGGCGCGGAAGAGTGCGGCGGGGTCCTGGCAGGACTCGGCCTCGAGAGCGGTGTGCGCGAGCATACGCACGGCGTTCACGGGGAACTGGCCGTTGGCCGACTCGCCGGAGAGCATGACGGCGTCACAGCCATCGAGCACGGCGTTCGCCACATCAGACACCTCAGCACGAGTGGGGCGAGGTGCACTGATCATCGACTCAAGCATCTGAGTAGCCACAATAACCGGCTTACCCACGGCGTTGCACTTGGCAATAATCATCTTCTGCGCAAGGAACACCTTCTCCAACGGGATCTCCATTCCCATGTCTCCACGGGCAATCATGACTCCGTCACATTCTTCCAAGATCTCGTCGAAGTTCTGGAGACCCTCCTGGTTCTCAATTTTCGGGATGATCTTGAAGTGCTTCCCAGCCTCACCCAAAATCTGTCGGATGTCACGGATATCCTGCGCACACTGCACAAACGAAGCCGCAATGTAGTGCATCTTGTTGGGGATACCAAACTCCAAAAAGTCCTTGATCTCGCGCTCGCCACAGACAGGCAAGTCCACCTTGGCGCCCGGCAGGTTCATGTTCTTGCGCTCTCCGATCTTCGCGTCGTTCATAACCGTCGTCACGACGTAGTCCTTCTGCACCTCCTTAACCTCAACCGACAAGGAACCGTCGGCAATGAGGATCTGGCTGCCGGGCTTCACAGTCTGCGGCAGCTTCTCATAGGTGCACGCGATGCAAGTAGAGTCACCCTTGAACGAGTAGTCAGTAACAATCTTAAGGTCCTGACCCTTCTTCAATTCAATCGACTTAAGGTCGTCACGGAAGAAACCCGTTCGGATTTCCGGGCCCTTCGTATCAAGGAGCAACCCAATGTTCTTGTGGGGTCTCTGGGCCTGAGCCTCTTTGACCAGGGCTAATGCCTTGCCATGCGTCTCGTGGTCACCATGTGAGAAGTTGAAGCGACAGATGTCCATACCGGCATCCATCATCTCCACCAAAGTCTCCACGTTCCAAGAGGCTGGGCCAAGGGTGCACACAATCTTAGTCCTTCTGTGGGCACGGTCCGCCTCCGTACGAGTCGCAAAGACATCGCTCAAGCTAATGTTCTGGCACTGGTTAGAAAGTTGACTCATCTTCACCCCTCAATTTGCAATATTCAAAATTCAAAAACGCCCCCGCACACAACCGTAACGGCACCCCGTCACTCGCAATGAGAAACAACTTCGTATGTACCCACAAGGTCAATACCAGCACCAGCTCAGTCGTCCTCCTTGTCAGGGCAACACTCCACGAACCAACAATGCTCGACTCTCAGTTGCGGGCGTTTATAAGTTCACAAACTGAGTTCTCCAACAGCCAACGTGCCCCCACCCGTAAACCCGTCCTGCGTTCTCCTGCGCTTATTCTGTCATGTGTCTGGGCTTTGTTTTCCACCCCGATAAGCCTTCCCATTCCGCCTTGAGTTGCCTCTAGGTTCTTCTGTTCGTTGAGACCTGGATGTGGAGAGCTCGAGTTCAGGAAAGCATCTCGAGTAATGCACGGGTGGCACGTACGTGCATGTTGATGAGTGAATGCAGGTCGTACTTGTCTGCGAACAGCGGCGGATTCGCCGTGGTCACAATTAGGTTGGTTTGGTTCACCACCGGCGACCCGGTCCGGCTAACGACTCTCCAGATGCACGCGGCACTTTTTACCGGGTCGGGGTTCCCGTCCAGAGTCAATACGTCCCAGGTCGAGTCGGACTCGTACTGTGACCACCAGTCTATCCAAAAGACGGCGCCAGAGTCGAATGGTAGCGGTCGCTGGACGACGAATGCGTACTTGCTCGACGAATACTCTCCAGGCTTCCGGTCGGAAGGGTTTTGGTCGGAAGGACTTCGGCCGGAAAGATTGTGGTCGCCTAGAAATAACTGGCGTGGGTGATCGACCTCGTCGAAAAAAAGCAGCTCGTTGCGCCCCAGCTTCAGCGAACAGTCTACAGCCGCTTCTCGGCAGCAATACACGGGACCGTGTGGCCACGTGATCAAGCCGCCACGGCCAACGTTCGGAACCTGAAAAGCAAATAGTCTGAACGGGCGCAGTACTGACCTTTTTCACCGTCGCTTCGCTGCAGATGCGAATCAGAATGTCAGACATGCTCCAAGGCGCGCGGACACGCGGCAACTGCAACGGACGGAACGGCGCATACGCCAACCAGACCACCGCCGTCCAGACCAGCAACCGCCCTCCTTTAGCCGCCAGCCTCGTCCACGCCAGCCTCGCTTTTCTCGATACGATACTCATCTGACAACTTGGGGTAATTCTTTTGTCAGGTTACCAAGTCGATTGCGGAGGTCGATTATGGCTACCAGGTCGGCTGCGGTTTCCAGGTCGATTGTAGTTTCTTTGGTCGCTTGTGGTTGTTGAGATGTGGAGGTGAAAAACAAACTAGCTAACTAAAGATGCGGCCCGCACTGTTTCCGGTACCGCTGGACGTGCTGTGCTTGGTTGCTAGATGCCCGGTCGACCGCTGTTCGGTCGTCAGGTGACTGGAACTGTGGCCAGAAGGAATGTGGCCGGCAGGGATACCGCTGGGTGCACTGTTGAAGACGCAGCGGGGTACATGGCCCGAAGTATGGCCAGGTGTGTTGCCCGAAGCTCCATTGGTCGTTCCTCCGACGGTCGTTCCTCCGTTGGTAGTTCCTCTTCCGACCGTTCCTCCGATTGCGTTTAGGCAGGAGTCTAGAGCGGCCTGTGAATGTCTGAGAGCGAGTTGTTGGCGCCACTGTGCGTAGCACACGGCGCTTCTGCGGCGTGCGTCTAGTTCGCACACGCGTGTGCGGTGGAGGACAATTTGTTGGTCGAGCGGAGAGGCTGCGGCGAGGAGCGCGTCTGCATAGAGCGACATGCCAGCGTGGCAAAACACTTCCTCGAGACTATGCACACCGGTTCGGCAATGGGGTGTATGGAACCACAACGCGACGTGGATGAGTTCGTGGGCGAGGATGAGTTTGCCGAGCACCGGTGTGGCGTACGGTGTTACGTATACCGCGCGCACAATCCGGACACCCATGTCCGTGTCCAGCTTCGAATGCCCTAACGTGCTGATCGCCTTGTCCACGCTATAGACCGTTCGCACCAGCGAAGCCACCAACAAATCTTCCGCCGCCGTGTTGTCAAAGTTGAACAGCACCGCTGCCGGGAACGACTGCTCCAGCAACGACCCATATACACTCCCTACGTCGTGCATACCCCCCGTTTTGGATGCATCGACCGCGGTCCCGGCGGTACCAGGGGTACCGGCGGTACTGGGGGTACCCGTTTCTCGCGGAGGACTGCGAGCCCGCCGGCTCATATATCGCCGGCTCATATATCGCCAGTTGTATACTGCGAGGAGCCCGAAGAGGCCCTGGCGGCGGAGTGCGACCAGTCGTTGGTACAGGTCGGCGGGCGGGAAAGACTTAGCTAGTCCGAGGATTTGTTCCACTTCGGCTTTCGACGGAAGCAAAAGGCGCAAGATGCGCCGCAAACTGGTCGAATTCCAATTCGGCACAGTGGTCATCAACGCCTCACTGGCCCGCCCGTGCCGCGCTATATAGGAGGCGCAATGCGCTGTCGCCACGGTCAGACTTAGAAAGAAATTGCGTACCGACAACTCACGACTCAGTCCTAACTCGTTCCGCAGAAAAGCCACTACCTCCATCACATCCTCTAAGTGCAACTGGCCTGCTTCACAATCACACTGGCGTCTTGCACCGCAATTCGGGCATATTGCCATTACAGCTACCAATTTGCCTTGGGAAAATCGCCCCTGCCGGCCTACACAACACCAGGTCAGCCTTTGGGGTGGATGATGGAAAAATACTTGGAGGCCGGGACGTGGGCAAGCAGTACGTCTAGACTTGGGGCGTAGTAGACGTTGGCTGCTTGTGAGACTTCCCAGCGCCACGTGATGGGTCGGGCAGTAAGTGTGTCGACGATGGTTAGGCCCCGGTCCGAAGTGGTGACCCAGGCGCGTTGGCGAGGGAGGAACGCGGACTGAGAGCCGCTTTCTCGACGACAGAGCACGGAGGTGAAGGTCTCGTGGCGCCTCCATGCCCCTCGTGACTGTTTGAACCGGGTGATGCAGTCGCTCTTCACCATCAATGAGGCCGTACTGGCTTGCGCTTCAGCGCAAGAAGCGCTGTCTCCTTCGCCTGACAGACACTCGCCTGCCCGACAGTCGTAGCCTAAACTGGCGATTGGGATGTTGGACACCTGGATGGCTTGGCGAGTAATGTTTGACGACCGAAAGTCCCAGATGCCAAGTTTGCCTTCCGAGCCGCCGGTGAATATGCAGTTAAGGGTGTCGTGACTGATGGATATGACGTCGTGATGCACCGGCTCTTTCAGTGGCGAGCAGATACCTTTCAGTTCACTACAGCGCATGTCGAAGCTGCCCACTCCAGCATGTAAGCCCAACCATACATTCGAGTGCGACCCGACCTCCAGACAGAACACCTCCATTGAGAGTTTACAAGAGAATATTGGGCACCATGTCTCCAGATCTACCAACGACAGATGCTTGTCAACCGTGGCCACTGCAGCCAACCGATTCGTAATCAACTTGACGGCGCTCACCCTACTTGTCCCCGGCCCGGTTGCACCGCCGACTACTGCGCCATGTTTTGATACAGTGGGCGAAAAGAGCTCAGCCGACAACGGCCGAGATACAGGGTCGAACACACGTGTGTGCGGCAATTCTTCTGCCGCGTCGGCCTGACTTTTTTCTTCCCTGCGTCGCTTCAAAACAGACTTGGAGGCCTTAAGCTCTTCCAGACTCAATAAAGCCAGCTCAAAGCTTACCTCCTCCGCTCGCAGCACGCTCCGAACCAAAACTCCTTCGGGAGCCCGCGGAGGTATGATGAGAGAACCAAAACTGGCACCCCCGCGTGCCGGGCGAACAGCACCCCGACCAACAACATTCCGACTACTACTGCTTGGCCTCCCGCTGCTCTGACTTTGCCCATTCCTCCCGCTCTCACTAGGATAACCGGCTTGGCTAATAGTACTTTGAGCAGTGTCTACTCCAGCCAGACATATATTGTCCAAACAGTCAAGGGCACTTGGTTGCAGAGGAAGGTATCCTTCCTGGGTCCTGAGATTGCCCAATTGACCGTCGTCCAGACATGCCTTGTAATCTTGATTTCGGATATAACCTCGTTTCAAGTCCCCATTGGGACCACGTCTTCTATCGACGATGCCGAACGTTGCACAAGTTTTATAGCGCCACAAATCGTCCCACGTCGCCACTACCCCGAGTCGTCGCCGGCGGTCGGTTCTATCCGCAGTTTTCATCTACATCCCTCCGAAATTGTTGATGTGCGGCCGTTCTGCCCGTTTGCTATCCGTGTTCATCTCCAAGTCCCGGAAAGTACACTGGAACCCCGCTTGCCCGCATTGCCCCGAAGTATGAGGAGTCGAAGATTGAGTGTAAAGATTGAATGTGGATGTTAATAGTTCCGAGTGTAAAAGGAACCGGAGCGAGCCCGGGAGAGAAAATATTATTAACGGGGCTTGAGAGGTGAGCCCGTTAATGTCACCAGTTGAATTCGTGGAAGTTCTGGACAAGTTGCAGAAGGCGGTTGCGGGTTCTGCTTCTGCGGCGGCTTTGACAGATGAGTTGTTGGATGAGAAGGCGGTTGGCTTGCTGTCTACGGAACTGAGCTCGCCAGAAAAACTCAAAAAGCTGGTGTGCAGACTCATCGGAGTTCCGGCATTCTCGGAGCTTCTGTACCGAGTGCTATCATGCGCGGAAACGGATGTATATGCCGCGCTATTTCACTATGTGACTGATTCCACACCGGACTTGGTTGGGTTCTCCTATGCGTTGATGAATTTTAAGAGACGTACTAGGTCCAAGCTGTCCTTCCCGTTGTTTCGAGGAGGTGAAATAAACACCGATATTTGCGAGAGCGGGCCTAACAAAGTGATTCTTGGCGTATTTACCAGATATATTTTGTCGCAATGGCATAAACGGCAGTCTCCTAGGGACATTTTGGCGTTAATGTATGTTACAAACAAGCTTATCGTGGCAGATCCGTATGCGTGGAACGAGCCAGCGCATTACGGGATTGTACAAACACGTGTGTTTGCTGCGCTCGATGCATTACTAAGAAATCATGAAGCGCCTGAAGTGGTTGGTGTTGAAGCAGCGAAGACAGAGAGCTCCGTGGATGAGTCCAGAAAGGTTGTCGACTTGATTGCAGCTTATGAGGCGCTGAAATTAGACGATAGAATGACGTCGAAGAGTACAACCCTCTTGGAAAAGGCTGTCGTCGGGGACCAAGTAGATATCGCGGCTCTTCTGCTCGATCTTTATGCTCAGTACGTAACGATCCTTACTCCCGCGATTCGGAGTAAAAGCGAGTTGGTTTTCAAGGTGGCAAGGTGCGAGTCGACGATTGCTGTGTTTAGAGAACGGCCGCTTCTGACTACAATTCTCAACCTTACATTCAAGGCTTGCCTCGACATCCCCCAGCTCGAGATCATGAACAAGCCTTTGGAGGAAGTACTCACGGCGGATATGGCCCTGAATGCCTTGAAGCAAATGAAAATCTACCTTGCCGTGGTCGATAAGCTACCGACTCCGGACGCGGGAATTGATCCTCTTGCCTTTTTTATCTCGGATATACTGCAGCTATGTCCCAAGGAGCTAGCATATGTCATCGGGAGTGCTCTTATTATTCCGGTGACTGACTTACGGGTGAAGAATGACTTACGGGTGAAGAATGACTTACGGGTGAAGAATGACTTACGGGTGAAGAATGACTTACGGGTGAAGAATGACTTACGGATGATGAACGATAAGTCAAGCAAGACAAATGAAGGGATACCGGGCGCAGCGCAAATCATTAGCAAGAATGACTGCCTTGCCAGCGTGCGCCAATTTTTGATCAGCTGTCTAAATGCGTACTACCAATCTCGCTCTCAATATCATGGCCCAGAATTGACAGCTAAGTATCCATTGACCCGCATTATAGTCTTACAGTTCCTGCGTGAAAGTCAAGTACCGAAGCTGTCCAACTACAGACCCTCTTCTGTGGATGTCATCACGTACTTCCGAGTGGTGGGAGACTTTGTGCTTCGTTTGCTCCGCACGATTGACGACCAGGAAGAACTTCATCTCGTTCGGAAGCAGCTCAAAAAAAGCGGCAAGCTTCGATTCGACCTTTATGCAGCGAATGCGGGTACATTTGAGGACGAGATCGCAGGGTTTTTGAAGGAAGCCAAGAAGAGGGGGGTCATGAAGAGGGAAGCCATGAAGAGGGGTGCCAGCAAAGACTTGGCGGAAAGCTCTCCCAAAAAGAGCAGGCCGGCAGGCGACATTCTGGACTCGGACAGGAAGTCGGACCCAGAAAACCCCGCCCTTCTGGGTAATTCGTCCGTTCTGGTCCCAGGACCTTTAGATGAGTGTAACTGCCATACGCTGCGTGAATGGTTGCGAGAACAACGAAAGGCCGCTCCGGAAGATCTGCAATTACAGAAGGAACTGGCAGCGGAGTTGGCGACTTACAACTTGGTTAAAAAGGCTTCGCGCTGTACGGATTTTGTAGTGCATGATGAGATCTTCAGGATGCTCTGCTCACTAATGAAATCCCTCTTGACGACCATGCTGATGGACTGTGGCCTAATGATACAGCTGCTCATAACCTCTCCGAAAGTGTATGGAAAGACGGAGGCTGAGCGCAAGTACTCACTTATAAGAATTGTTGGTGCATTGTGCATCGACGAGGTTATTGAGTTTGATATCTATGGTCGGGATAACATGTTCAAGTACGTCTCCCGCAAGAAACGAGAGCTAGAAGAAAAGACACAAGACAAAACGAACGTGGATGAGACCCAGCTTGCTGCAAATGATGGTGACGCAAATGATGATGACGCGAATGATGATGACGCGAATGATGATGACGCGAATGATGATGACGTCGTGGCGGAAGGTGAGATGGCGGAGATGGATGACGGGCGGTCACGTAGGCCCACTAGTGTGATGTGGAACGAGAAGAATATAAGTCAGATTTGTGGGGATTGGTTGCGGACCATTCTGGATGAGTATGTGAATTCCCCCGTTGTTCCGGAGGACGATTTGCTGCCAATGGTGTGTCTAGACATCGTTGGATGTTTGCTAAGGTTGTGTTATAGTTCTACTCCAGTCAGTACTCAGCCGGGTAAAGTACTGGTGCAAGGACAGTCTGACTACGACACCGTGTTGGTCAGCACCTGCGGGCGGATCTCCCAAGGCGATGCTGAGTCCGTCCACGGGGGTACTGCCCAAGCCGGTGCGAAAGTGACGCCGGCGGCGCCGGTGATGAATGTGTACCCGTTGTTGTGTGAACCCATGCGATCGGTAAAGGGACGACGGAGGGTCTTACAAGCATTGGGTCGAGTTTGCGTAAGTCAGTGTGGAGGTGTGCTCAGTGTCTTGGAGAACCCCGAAGCGAGGTGGCTTGCATTGGAGAGCTTGTATTTGTACGAAGAGCTCTTAAGTCTGGAATTGATGCGGGAAAAGGCGTTCTATATTGTCGACAAGACGCATCGTGAGTTGCTTCTAGCCAAATGCACCAAAGCCCACCAACTAAACCGGTTGCAGAGAGAACGCATTCCCCTGCACCTCTCACCCTTTCCAGGCAGCTGCGATATCCAGAGCTCCCTCAACTTTATTAAGGCAAACGCGGTGTCGGCTGGAGTTACAACCGGAACTAGCCATGACGAGAATACACCTTACATCCTGCGTCTCTCCGCAGCCGTCGCCCGCGCCGCAGTAGACCAACCGGCCGCCGCGAGTAGGAAGTGTTACGGCGTCTACGCTAAGGACTACCTTGGAGAAGAAATCGAAACAGAACTATGGGCGCTCCCTCCGGAAGTTATTATTCAGTACGCTCGGTGGCAAACTAACCAGAGAACCCGGTGCCAGGCGGCCCTCGAGTCAAGCTATCCACCGGTGGAGGAGGTCACGAACTGTCTCGAAGCTATAGCAGCCAGTCTCTCATCATCCTAGCTCCCTTTTTAGCCAGCCCTAATATACTCTCATGATTCTCCGCTACCGATAATTTGCTCTGGCATGATCTTGTTTCCACTTTCCGCAACACCACGCTCTCCTCTGCGTACTGTTCACGGCTTGAATCGCTCTATTCCCCAAGGGACCATCACTCCCAAGAAACCATCACTTCCGACGAGGCCTGCTCCGTAGTAAGTCCACGTCTCGAAGGGCCCGGGCGGGACGGGTTACGTCCCCGAAAGGTAACTGCCCTCATTGAGTCATTACGGTCATTAAAGATCCTTGTCTCCCTTCTGTGGTTCTCTTGCCATTATCAGCCTCGTCTGGTCTCCCTTGCTTGTTGACGTCCTCCACGGCAGCCTTGCTCCATGGCGGCCGACGTCCTCCACGGCAGCCTTGCTCCACGGCGGCCTTGTTCCATGGCGGCCGCGGTGGTTGTCCTGGAGACGATCGTGGGGTTAGTCATTCACTTTGACCTTCCATTCGTCTTCACTTGAGCGGTAGTGGAAGAGTGTGCTTCGGCGGCCTGGACCGGCTTTGGACTCGTTGTCTTTGCCGTCGAGTGGTCGGAGTGCCTGTAGGTATAGTAAATAGGGGACGCCGTAGGTGGCGAAGAGGCATCGGAAGACCTTGTATTTGGGTACACTGACGAGGAAGATGCTTGCTGCGGAGCCGCTGATCATGACGGCCACGTCATACAGTGACGTCCAGGGGGGGCAGGGCCAAACGATGCACAGGCTCACCAGGACGACGAGGAAGAGCAAATAGAGGCCAGCGAGTATATGTGGTGGGACGCAGAGCAGCTGGGGTATGACGACTAGTGTTTGGAGGTATGGGGAGGATCGGGTGAGCAGGAAGGTGTTGTGATCCTGTTGGTTCTTGAACTGTTCAGCCATAATTGTCCAATCAAGTACGCCGGAGAGCATGAGGAAGAGCGCGAAGAGTCTGTAGCGAATGATGAGCTTTTCGGCCAGGTCCACCCAGTCCAGCTGGCGCCTGCGTGGCGTAAACCTTGTGGACGCGAGGAAGACGGTGCAGCCCAGCAAATAGCTCACGACTCGGACGCTGTAGAGGATCTTCACGGTATTGTTTTGAAAGCCGCGCACGCTCACATCTGACAGGAAGTCGCTGAAGGCGCCCACGCAGGTCAAAAGTCCCAGCGCGAGTTGACAGAGCAGGATGCGCTGTCCGGCAATCAGCAACCGCACGTCTGCCGTCATCTTCCAGGCCAGGAACCAGCGTTCGACCTTAAGGTCGACAAACCGGCCCGTAAAGGTCTGTCGCAAATAAATCGTGGTCACAGGCGTAGAGGCCTCTCGAATTACCGCCTCCAGCGAGTGCCACGGCCACCGGATGTTGTCATCCATGACTTGGTCCGTCAAGCGCCGGTGGACGAGGAAATCCGCGGGCGTGTCGCGCAGTCCCATGGACCACACCCTCTCGCGCATTCTCAAATTCGCCATGCGCGCCTCCAGGGTGTCGCGACCTTCGATGCTCTGGGGTTCCGAAGACGTCGACTGCTGCAGGTGCTCGGAGAGACTCTGTCGTAGTCTCTCGACATAATCGCCCGAGCCGTGCTCTCGCGACGGTTGGCTGGACGGGTCGACTTGCACGGGTGCGCCCTTTAGCAGCGATACGGTCAGTTCTCGCTGCATCTCTGCCCGCTTCTGCGCCTCCATGCGGTGGTTTCTATTCACCACACGCGAGAAGAACCCCTGCCGGTTCTCCGGCGACCGGGGCGCCTGCAACAACAGCGAAACGTGCTCGTAAGGCGTCAACTGGATCGGCGGCTCTGCGCCCCGCATTGCGAACTCCTTAAACACCTCCAGTTCCAGCGGAATGATGTACGGCATGTCCTGCAGAATCATACGCGGCCGCTGCCGCAATCGATGGATCTCCGTTCCCACGTAGTAGATCTGCGAATACAGCAACAATCCATAACACAGGTACTGCACTGAATGCAAAGTGTACCGTAACATCTCTCCCCAGTCCAGCACACTTATCATGATACTCATCCGTAGCAGAAACCCCAGAGCCCATATCACCGTTAACCCGCGACGTCGTAAACCCGTCAAAGCAAACATATATGTTGCCGTCAACGTCCGAGGACGAAACGCCGCACGATCCATGCCCTCGATTCGCCGCTCGTCCACCGTTTGCAATGCCAAACACAACAACGCAAGCAAACTGTCCTGGACCAACCCGTTGGACGTCGCCGTTATCCCCACATACACCATCAACGATAGCGCAAACAGCGACGATGTCCCTACCACAAAGTTCACCGAAGACCCAACTGAAGTAATAAAACATAAGATCAACATGCCGGAAAACGCCATCGCTACATCCTCCGCGCTCAACTTGTAGAAATGCGCCGACGGACGATACGACGGCCCGTAAGCCATCATATTCGTCGTAATGATGCGAGCGATTTTCGTCAGATAGCTCATCGCACACACGTGTGCTCGGGAGACCTCCGATCAAGGGACTTCTATTGTTAATATATTTCGTCTCTAAAAAACCCCATTCCATCCCACTATGCAGCACATCCCACTACGCAGCACATCCCACTACGCAGCACAACCTTACCCTCTAAGGTGACGTTCTAGCGCTGCCATAACTCGCTCCTTGTCATTGATCTGTTTGTTGTCTATTTGAACACATGTTAGCAACGCATACCAATCACTTACACATGTCGCTTTCTCTGTGGTCCACGATTTCCAGACTCAATCGGAGTCGCTTGTACTCCTCCGGGACCTCGTCTAGTAATCTTTCGTGTATCGCCAGCGCTATCATGGGGACGTACGAGCAATACTCCACAGTCGGCTTGATCTCCACGCGGGCGTAACCACAACAGTCCACCGTGACGCCTTCCGGCCGAACAATACCGAGGTCCTCCAACGTGGAATTAGGAAACTCGGGGTCCGGGACATCGAAGATATAATAATACAGGCTAGACGAATCCATTTTCGCCCTTTATTTCACAGCCGAACGCGTCATCCTTCAGCTCCCGAGCCATCACAGCTAGCAGTGTAGCAAAATCCAAAATTGAAGTAACAGTGGAAGCTCTTGCCTCAACGATCAGTTGCAACCACCGTCTGCGACCATGCCTAACCAGTTGCACTCGACTGACCAGTTGCGCTCGACTGACCAGTTGCACTCGACTGACCAGTTGCACTCGAATGCCCCCAAATGCTCAAATGGAGTCTGACTTGTCACCCTCCGCTGAGTGGCAGCGACAGTTGGTACATGTTTCCGTAGACCGTAACAAATACTAATTTCTCGTCCAATTGGAGGACGCTGAGGAATCGTTCGCCAACGGGCAGCTGCTCTCGTTCCCGCAGTCGTAGCCAGTCCAGAGAGGCCAGACTGGGCCGCGCTTCTTCTTCATCGAGGCTTTGGCCACCGAGGTTTTGGCCAGGGCGACCTTGACCAGGTTGTCCGTCGCCCGGCTCTCCGTGGTCAGCAACTTGCCCTCCGGCGGCGTGCACATGCCCTCCGGCGTGTTGTCCGGGGGCGTGTTCTTTGGCTGCATGTTCTCCAAGTATGTGTCCCGGTGGCCGTTCCCCTATTAACTCCTGGCCGTTGGCCTCGAAGTTGTGCGGCGGGAGGAATGCGTTGAGGCGAATGGTGCCCGCGAGATCGCCGGCGATCTGGAAGACCTTGGGACCGCGGGTGAGGAAGCCGCAAACATTGGTGGCGAGACGGGAGTGAGGAGCGGGCATGTTGCGCGCAAGCAGGACGAGCGTGAGCGGCAGGAACTGCGTGGAGCCGCTGGCAGGATTGCGGCGGTTAGTCGCCAGACGGAGCGCGGCAAAAGTAAGTCCGTGACTGGCTGTGGCCAGGAGGAAGTACTGCTCCTTCAACACTGCGACGAACGTGACCGGCGACAGCGTGCCTACGAAGGTCCCGCCTTTCAGCACACCACCGTGCAACTCGCGCACGTACAACCGGCATCCGGCCGCGAACCACAGCAACGTCTTCTCACGGAACATCACACTACCCATCGCCACCACACCGCCCACCACATTCATCGCATACGGCACACCCTCCCCCTCTGGCACGCCGGGTGCAGAGGAACAGGCGACCTCGGGAAATACCAACACACGACCCGTAGGCGGACGAAGACCGCCAGATATCGGGACCGTCCCCAGACACACGAACTGCTCGTCCGCCACTGTCACCCGGTGCGTGGCCACCACACGCTCGTGCGGCTCCAGCCAGAAACCGCCCAGACGACGGACCCACGCACGCCGCGACAGCCGCGCCGCCCGCCACGAGGTCCAGGCGTCTTGCCATCGCGGCAGTGTTTCCTCCAGTGGTCGGCCCCCGTCCTGCACCTCGCGCAAAACCGCCTCCACGCCACAGACCCGTGAAACAACCTCCCCAATAGCTTTCTCCGCGGGCACCGGAGACTCTTCCAGAGGAGCGGGAGACTTCTCTAGGGAAGTTTCTGACGCCGTCTCACCGGACGCCTCCCCCAGAGGAACGGATGCCTCCCCCAGGGAAACGTCACCCAGGGGAGCAGACGCGTCGCCCAGGACGGGACCTGCGTCACGCACGGCGCAAGTCAGCGCCTCCCAACGCGCCTCGCCGGGCAGTGGGAGTGCGGCCTGCAACAAGGCCCCGTGGAACCGGAAAGCGGCAAAGGGACAGCCCAGGAGCAGCGCCGGCCCCACCACGCCCGTCTGCGTGTCCAGCAGCCATCGCGCGCCGCCAATCAGACACACACGCGCGTCCACCGTAAAGAGGCGCCACTGCCCACGCGCGACACACGTGACCACCAACACCACGCCCCGCAACCGCACGCTGAAACACTGGTCCTCCACACACCCCCCGCAGCGACAGTGAGATGTCAACAACGTACTCTCCTCCAACTCCAACCGGCCTTCTTCCAGATCCTCGTCCAGATCTTGATCTGGACCTTGGTCCCGGCATTGGTCTCCCAGAGCCCTGGTCTCTGCATCTAGGAGCGGAAGCTGTACCCAGCGCGGGGGCCCCGCGGCCACGCACTCCCTGCGGTACAGGAACACGCGCGACGCAGTCACCGCCAGCAGTGCCTCGCCCGAACGGGAGGCCGCCACGTGCAACAGCCGAGGCGCCTTCCCTGCGTCTCCCGAAGCCGGCGCCAGAGCCTTCCCCCCCGGCAGACCAGCCTCCGTCGGTTGGTCCACCTCCGTCCGCGTGCCGGAGGCATCCTCGGTTGCCGGATCCCCCAGCAGCGCCGCCTGGGCTGTCCACATCCAACGGCACAGCACGGTGCTATCCGTCTGTTGACTGATGTACTGCTTGACAGCCTCCCTCTCCAGCGGCCGCGTCACAGTCACGGCTGAGTCGCAACCCTCGGCCGCCATGGCTGTGTCTTGGAGCGGGTCCGCTGAGTGGATGCAATAGAAGACTTGCGGCGTCTCCCGTGTGATTTCCGTGACCTCGTTTTCCGCGACCCTGAATAATCGACAACACCCGTCGTCTAAGGTTACCGTCACCATCAACTGGTCGCCAAGCGGCTGGTTCTCTAGTTTAGAGAAGTGAGCTTTGGTTGCGATTTTGACGCAGTTGATGTCTTCAAATAGGTCTAGTGTGGTCACGGTCACGAAGGCCAGTTCGTGCGAGGCGTCCCGGGTCGCGCGGCAAAGATTGATGGTATTGGGGGTAACTTGCGCGACGGTGTTGGGACCAACAGCGTACAAGGCCAATGTGAAGTTATCCAGTTCCAGGTTGCCCACGTCATCGAGGGGATTGGCCAAAATGACGTCGATGGCGCCACTCTCGGCATCGAAGAGCATTGTCCGACCGATGGCCACGGCGTTGACATCGTGCGCAGCCAAGCACAATATGTGGCACTCCTCCAAGAACCAACCCCAAGTGATGTTGCCCACGTTGTGGCAGTCATTGGGACTGGTTGCTAGGCCGAGTTTATTGCCTACCAAAGTTCGACAGTCGAAGTAACCGTATCGAGCGGGATCCAGCTGTCTGGGACTCGGAGTCGCGAACGAAGTTGTGGGCAGAGATGTGGGTGTGTTCCCGTGGTCCGAGATAGGATGGGTAGGACGTTCCGTGTATAGAATAGACTGGAAACCTGTACCGTCGATAGGTTGGATCCACACGATTGGCTTCTCCGTATGCAGCAGAAAGCTATCAGGTGAACGCAAGGGGTTCCCCACGAGTGGGTCGTCTTCAGGATCCGCAAGGAAATTCGGAACCGTCTTTGTTTCTAACTCAGCTTTGATGAAAGCGGTCATTTGAGCCTGCTCACCGTCATCCGTAGCTACCGCGGCATCGTCATCATTGTACAGATCTACTGCCTTTATGAACTCGGTCGCCTCTCTCAGATCTAGGTCTAGAGACCTGAGAGTCGATCTATCTTCGGCGCGCAGGAGCTGGTCAACCAGGTGCTTTGGGCACCACCTCAAATGAATGATCGGCTCGGTCGAGAGTAAAAGTCTCTGGTGGGCCACTTCACCTTTGGCATTCTGTACACTCAGTAAGTAATGCTGCATATCGTTTCCCGAACGCTTTTCTCGGAACTGAATTATGCCAGGTGCCAAGGATACCGGACTAAGACCTCGAGTCTGATAAAATACAACTCTGGATCCGCTCGCGATCAAACGACAGTTCCGAAAATTGATTCCTTCTCCGGCATACTGTTCCAGAACGCATTTGTAATAGTGCTCGAGATCCTGGGGAGATGATTTCTCCGCCACAGCATGACTGGGAGACTCGGTTAACAGGTCGGGTGTACTGGACTCAGGCAGGATAGTGGCCAATAATGACGGATCTAATTGATCAATGTTGCTGCCAGAATTTTCGGGAGAACAATTTTGCGCGGAATCGTGTGCACACACATTCTTAAAGTATGTTTCCGGACAGAGCACTATCACGAGAGACTTATCGAAGAATCTGATGGAATGCGGAGACACCACGCCATTGGCATGTAGCGTATGGGTGTAAATGGGTAAATGGTGAATAGTTCGGTGAATAATTGATGTCCATCCCTTGGTTGTTTTTTGGATTCTTGTCATTTGAATGTAGCACTGGTTGAAGTTTGTTGCGCTTAAAATGTATCCTTGATGGCCATTGAGCATAGTAAAGTCCCAAGTTGAGGGTTCGGTGGATGAAACGCGCCAGTCAGTTACAATTAAATCATCTAATGCTCGGGGAATATTTCTGGACATCTTATTCCAGTCGAAGCAGAAACTATCGGTGAATCTTATAGACAATTCTGTAGGAGTCATTTGGGATGAGATGAGAATGCTTTTGCTGACCGGATGGACATGATATTTCTGGCTGATAGGTATAGACTCCGTTGCATGCATGATTCTCTTATTATGTTGGCATTCGCATGTTGTCATTAATTCCATAACCTCCGGATCCAGTTCATCCTCGTCATCATCTGATGAGAGTACAGACATGTCATCGACCGAAGTTACATCTGGCAGATTCGGCAAAAACTTAGAAGGAAGAGACATGACCTCCTGTGATATAACCTCTCTCGAGATGTTTTTCTCATATCGTTCTCCATATAACGTCCCGAGAGCAAACCCAAGCTTAACGAAGACGCCAATTTCACATTGCAACACTAGACTAAATGTTTGTTCCGGTTCGTCTACCACCGTTATATTCACCTGGGGTTCTCGCTGACCGCCGTCCATTGCATGAAATAAACTGCTCTCAATTCCCGCCTCTCGAACTAGTGGTTCGCTCAACAAATCTAGAGTCATCGTAACAGCCTCATTGACCATAACATACAACTAAAAAGAAAAACATGTGCCTATCTGGTCAATGTATTCTGCAACTTACTTTGTGACCGATAGTATAGATGAACGTGTACTCTCTCCATCTTTTCACTGCCAGAATGGGCAAGTCAAACGATATCTTCTTCTCCGGCTCGAGACACAGATTCCTCCCAAGACACAGATTCCTCCCGGAGCACAGATTTCTTTCGAGGCACAGATTCCTCCCTTCAACCTGGTTTGGCGGCCAAGAACCCAACCTTCCCACGTACTCCAGTCCCATTATAAAAATCCCCCAGCCCCCGGTTCGTCCCTCCAGCTTGAGTGCGGTCCCGAACCCCAACGAACAAACAAAGCGCGCTAAAAAAAGCAGAAGGCCGTTCAAGGCCCACGCAACCTTGAACAGTCTGCTGCTGTCACAACCTATTAGAGCATGTGAATCTCTCCCGGCTCCCTCACGACGTCCAGCGCCGATTTCACTTCCGCCACTTGAGCCTTCAACGCCTCAACCTCGTTCCAAAGCCGTCCACGTTCATGCCACAATCCGTCGGCTCGACTGATGTGACGCACACCGGAGTGTGGACATGGCGGATCCGATCCGTGAGAGACCTCGGAACACAGCCACGCTTTACCCCATTGCTGCTGAAGAGTCGGCCACAAGGACCGCACGTAGTGGAAGACGTCATGTGATTCCGGCATCCTTCCGTCATAAAGTGCTCGAACGACTCTTCAACTGCGTCAAAATGGCGTCCACACTGGTCACAGTTCGTTACCCGACGACCATGCTGTTGACAGTGCAAAACCCAAGCGGAAGCGCTCTGGGCTTGGCTGTGACAGAAATCACATACCACTAATCTACCTTCCTTCCAGTGCATGTCTTGCGGCAAAAATTCCTGCACACGGTCGTGAAGCAAAAAGTATTTAAAAGCAGTAAGTACACACACGCCCGTGAGTGTTGGTCACCACAGGCACCGTTTCGTGTCAAGCCGAGTCGAACGAAGCTCTTGGGTGAGTTTCAAGCCCCCTGTGTGCTTCACGAATAGTCGCTGTACTCGCTGTAACCGGGAGATGTGGGCATGGCTGTTGGGGGTCCGGTTTCCCAATGATCGTTGTCCTGGATAGCCTTCAGCTGGGCGACACAGCTCTGCAGTTCTGTATTTAGTTGCGTGAGACGGCTTTGAATCTGGAGCAGCATGCTGTTCATTCGGTCTTGTCGTTTCCACATCTGTTTGAGGCTCCGCGTTCCACTGAGCTCTGTATCGCCTTCTTGGACTTGTCGCGCGACGGCCTCAACCCTCTCGCTGACCGCTTTGACGCGCTCATCCAAGTCATCGATTCGCCCGTCTCTGCTCTCACCTTCGTCTTCGAGTTTGTCCACGTGGGTGGCGTGACTCAGGTCGTGACCTATGTGGTTGCCGCTTACCTCCAGCAAGTACTGACCGCAGTCCTCGCAATACCATACGTCCCCCAGCTTGTCGATGTGACTCAAATAGCCCTCGTAGTCACCACGAAACCGACCGCACTTACATGACATCACTGCGTCCCTGCTGCACTTATTCAACCCCCCATGCTTCATGTTACAGTGATCCATGAAGCCCTTTTCGGTCGATAGATACTTGCAGCAAAACCCGTACCACTCACCTCCCTCCGTATCGCTACAGCACCGATTCCTTTGATAATGCTCGAAAGTCTCCTTTGGCGTCCCAAAACACTCATCGCAGTCATCGCAATACAAATACCAACAACCGTTCTCCTGACAATGATCAAGCCAGTCGTCAACATCGTCCGTCACTTCCGAGCAGAAGTTACAGGACACATCTCCCTTTCCACAAAATTGCATGTGTTCTCCTCCACAATTTCTACCCGCCCATGCCAGTTACTCTCCCCGCTACGATACCCGAAACCGCCCAGGTGTGCGCCTTGTGACATCCCATTCTTCAGAGTCCTGGTCGTGCAACGTAGGTTGTGGTCGGGTGGAAAAACATCTTCGACACAGTGAAAGATACTGGTGTGGCAATGACCCAGAACAGAAGCCCTAGGCCATTGCGTTGGTAATGGATTCTTTCACCGTGCCGAGGTTACGCCTCCATCCGCTCATGAACTTGGCTTCCACCTTCTTTTGTAACCAAGAAGGCTTCAGCCACTCCACGGCGAATGAAGAGCGCACCTTAGTTCGTCTAACTGGCTCCCCCGGGCCCTCGTC